GAGCAGGGGGCAGGTTTGGAATTTGTGTGTGATTTTTGCACGTTTATTTTTTTTAACTGAGATAAAATTCACATCACATAAAATTAACCACTTTAAAATGCATAATTCAGTGGCATTTAGTAATTTCCTCATGTTATATAAACAGCATCTCTATCTAATTCTAAAACATTTCATTACCCCAAAACAGAACCCCAACCCCATCAGCAGGCACTCCCCATTCCCCCCTTACCAGAACCCTGGCAACCACTAACTTGCTTTCTGTTTTTACAGGTTTACCTGTTGTAGACATTTCATGTAAGTGGAATCATACAGTATGTGACCTTTTGAGTCTGATTCTTTTCACTTAATATCATGTCTCTGAGGCTCAACCATGTTGTGGCACGTCTCAGTACTTCATTCCCTTTTATGACTGAACGATATTCCATTGTATGGATTAGACCACAATTTGTTTATCTATTCATCCACTGATCAATATTTGGGTTGTTGCTACTTTTTAGCTATTGTGAATAGCACTCTTACAAATATATGCATAAAACTATTTGTTTGAATACCTGTTTTCAATTCTTTTGGGTATATGCTAGCAATGGAATCACTGAGTCATACGCTAATTGTTCTGATGAACTGCCAAACTGACTTCCACAGCGGCTGTACCATTTTACATTCCCATGAGCAATGCACAAGGGCTCCAATTTCTCCACATCTTCACCGCACTTAATACTTCCCCTTTTCTACTAAAGCCATCCTAGTAGGTGTGAAGTGGTACCTCATTATGGTTTCAATTTGCATTTCCCTAATGACTAATGATGCTGACCATCTTTTCATGTGCTTGTTGGCCATTTGTAAGGTCTGGAACTTCTGACACAACCGTGCCAAACTATCTACCAATCTGCGAATAATCACAAATCTTCTAAAAAGGGTGGGCATGGAATCTTCCCATTGTTTCTGAGATGAATGTTAAGTCAAATAAAGAAGTTCCATACCATGGAACTTCTAAGAAAGTCACAGGAACAAAGGGAAATGATGAAATGACTGACTGAAATGACTGATGAAATGATTCACTGAGGCCAACTCCTGGCCCACCCACCTCTATGTCTGGGATTCCTACACCAAGGCCCCAGCAGTCCCAGCAGTGGAGTATGGACACAGCAAGGGGCAGAATTAGACCAGGAGGGCTGAGGGGGGACAAAGAAGGACTGAAGAGCTGGGAAAGATCAAGACCAACCTGCTCATTCTCCAGGAGGGAGAAACAACCCAGCCAAGGTCCCACAACAAAACAATGCTAGACCAGGGACTAGAACTGAAGTTTGGTGACTCCTTCCACAAAAAGTGATTCCTAATGGTGCACGAGTCAGCAGGAGAATGAGACATCATGTCAGGTCAATACCCACCAGGAACCCAGGCTGGGACGAGGACCTGGAAGCCAAGAACCCTAGTTCCAGACCTGCTGCTCTGCTCCCTCTATTCTCATTTCACTCTACACAGCCTCCTGAGTGACTCCATTCACTCCCATGACATCAGAATTCCCACCTGGCCCCCACCCCTCCTCCAGCTCTAGCCGCCTACTGCCTTAAGTGGGTGATTCCACCTAAGGACCAAATTGGACCTCCACCTCCTCCAAGTCAAATTTACCACACTATTTTTACTCCTCCCCGCTCCCTCAAATCTACTCCAAATCTGCTATCCTCAACTGCCGTTAAGGGTACTTTTATCCACCCAGGTTTCCTCAATCCCCACTCTGATCAACTGCCAATATCCTGTCCCTGGTGTCTGATGACTCCTTTCCCTCCTGGCCAGCACTGACCTAGAGAAGACCTTTACTGACATTTAACTGGACTTCTCCAAGAGCATCTATTAGAACTTCTGCCTTTAGCCAGAATTATCTTCCTAAAACACAAATCCAATGGATTAAAAAGCTAAGCATAGGAAATTCCCTGGAGGTCCAGTGGTTAGGACTCCACGCTTTCACTGCCAAGGGCCTGGGTTCGATCCCTGGTCAGGGAACTAAAGTCCCACAAGCCATGCGGTGCAGCCAAAAACCAAACGAACAAGCAAAGCTAAGCATAAAAATAACTATAAAAGAACTAAGAAAAACATCAGAGACTATTTTATAACATTGGAAAGAACACCTTCATAAGAATGAGAATAAAACTACAAACTATAAAGGAAAACATGGAAATTAAACTGTCATATTTAAAACTACCACATGAGAAAGAGAAATGACCATACAATTAAAGACAATGTATGTCAGATTAACATCTAGAGCAGGAGTCGGCAAACCATGGCTCATCCTGCCAGCTACCTATTTCTGTAAATAAAGTTTCACTGGAAAGAGCCATACCCCTTAGTGTATGTCTTGTATACAGCAACTTCACACATCGGCTTTTATGCTACAACGGCAAAGCTACATAGTAGCTACTAAGATCTATGGCCCACAAGGCTGAAATATTTACTATCTGACCTTTTACATGAAAAGTTTGTGGACCGCTAACCTAGAGTATATACAGAAGCTCCTGCAAATCAATGGTGGGGGGGCCCTAACCCGATAGAAAAATGAGCAAATAATATGAAAATCCACAAAAGAACAAAATATATTCAATAAATATTACTAAAAGAGGCTTAATCTCACTGGTAACTAGGGAAATTATTAAAGAATTAAATCATTTGATAATACCCAATCCTGGCAATGATATGATACAGCCTTTTTTGTAAGACAATTTGGTGATTATCTGTAGAAAAAAAAAAAATTTAATGCACTTGATGTCAACCTAGCTATTCTATTTTTAGGTATCTGCCCCCAGAGAAATACTTGCATTTGTGCGCGCATGCACATGCATTCTCTCCCTCTCTCTCTCTCACACACACACACACACACACACACCAAAAAGCAGTTAGAAAGCTGTTCGTTGAGGCATTCACTGTCTATAATGACAAAACCTGGAAGTAACCTTGCTGTCCACCAATAAGGGAATGGTTAAACTACGGTACATCCCTGATGGTACAATATGCAAAACATCCCTGATGGTACAATGTGCAAAAAACAAGTTTGGTATATTGATATGTATTACCATGAAAACGGCTATAAAACATCATTAAGCAGAAAAAACAAAATACATTTCAGAGCAAAAACGCACATACAGTCTAGGTTTAAATAGGTTTTTTTAACTGAACTTGATTTGAGTCTGCATGTATGCAGAGAAATGCATAGAAGGACTAAAGGATAAATGCCTTAAAGAGGAGGTGGCCTCAGTGATCACTGATCTATCTTCCAGCCTTGATGGTCTAAAATAAGCTCAGGGTGGGAGAGGCAACAGGAAGCAGGGGCTTGAAGGAGACTGATGGGAACCGATTGGCTGAGGTTTTCTAATGGAGCCATGAGGATGAGAGTAAGAGGCTGGGGGAGGGCCGGATGCAGGGAGCAGCAGCTAAGGCTGCTGGCAACAGCCCTGAGTCTCCCTCCGTCTCTCTTCAAGAACAGTTTCTTCCTGAAAGATCCCAAGAGGTAGAAGGCTGGCCTAGTCTCTCCCAGCACAAATAACCCCACTCCTTTCAGAAACGACCGTTCCACTTGTGCCCTTGAGGGCCCAGGCCTATCTCAAAACCCACAATTCAACTGTGAATACAGTGCAAGATTAAGGTACTTTTAAATTTGTGACATCCCCCTCCCCACCAAATCCAATTAATAATCAGCATTTTAAAAACAGATTCAATTCAAATATGCAGATTCCATTCTAATTCAGCTAAGTTTAAGAATCGGAAAACAAGCCCTATGAGGTGTAAACACCCAATTTAGGCAGCTGCCTGGAATAACCAGAAAACTCTCTCAGAATAACCCTTGCCAAGCCAGAAACTTCCTAAATCCAAGTTTACTATTCTGTAGGTGATTCTTGTTCATTTGTTGTTTAAACTGCAAGAAGAAAAAGTTTCATAACGATGTCATGCCTTGCTCTTCACAACAGCCGAGTGAGGCAGGAGAGCCAGGGATCCCTGCTCCCAATTTACAGAGAAGGAAAATAAACGATTAACGAGGCAAAGGGACATGTTCAAGGTCGCGCAGCTGCACGTAACAGCCAAGCCTAGAAGTTCAGTCCCCTGACTCCTGGTCCAGGACCCTCATGGCCACATGCACTGCTTCCAGTGGAGAGAAGAGCATCTCCCTCAGAAGCCCGCCACAGCCCGGCACACCACCAGGACACGGACCCTGCCGTCCTAACGCTCTGACTCCGCAGCCCTGGGTGCGCGCTGAAGCTCTGGGTCTCGGGTACCAGAAGTTTCTTTCTGGCCACTGGGGAAGGCAGCCGGTCCCAGGCCGTCCCCCCTGCCCTGCCACCCACTCGGCCGGCCGTGTAAACACTTCGCAGCAAGAGAAACGGCCAGGCCGGCCCACTCCAACGCAGCGTGTCAGTGGAAGGAGCGCCCACGACGAAGTCAGCTGGGCTGGAACGGGAAGGGGCTCCCGGCCTCGCGCAGAGGGACCAAGGGGAAGCTCGTGTTGGTTGGGGGGACGGAGGCTGGGGAGAGGCCGGGGGTGGGGGGGGCGGGGCCGGCCGGGAAAGCGGGAGTGGCCGCGCGGGGCCGCAGAGCCCAGCTCCGGAAGGGTCGGCCGGGCCCAGGACCCGCGCCGGGGGCACGCCGGACGGCCCGGCGCCGCGCTGTGGGCGCGTTTCCGCCGCCAAAGCGTGCGAAACCCCCCAGGGACGAGGGACAGAGACTCGGCCGGGAGCGGCGACCCGGGGGGCGGGGAGGCCGTGCGAGCCCCTCCCCCGCCGGCGGCCCCGGGTCGCGGCCCAGAGCGAGACCCGGACCCAGGCCGCCCCCGCCCGGTGGCCGCCGGTGGGAGAGGGTGCGGAGCCGGGCGGCCGAGTGTGGTCCCGCGCTTTGTTCCCGCGCTCGGCCGGGCGCCTCGAGACGCCGAAACGCATGAGTCACCGGGCGGCGAGCGGAGGGCGCCGCTCCGTCCCGCGGGCGCCGCTTTGTCCGCCCCGCCCGCGCCGCCCGCTCACCTGCGTCAGGTCCTCGTCGTTGAGCAAATGCGACTCGCGGGGCTTGAAGCAGTTCTGACACTTGCTCTTGTTGAAGATGTTGGCCTGGAATTTCCTGCACGGGTTCTCCTTGGCCGCCGACATGGCCGGGAACGGGCTCAGGCCGGGCACCGCCGCATCCCCGGCCGCCGCCTCCAGCCGCGCACGCAGGCCGGCGCCTCACAGAGCGCGCGGCCCCCGCC